CAATGGTTGCAGCGATTTTTCAGCTGATTACTTTGCATTTTCGAGCAATCATTTTACCTGCCAGTAGCGATAATTTTAGCTCTTAGTTTACCATTTTTATACTTAACAGTATATTTCCCTTTTGTACTTAGGTTTGTTTGTGCTCAGAAATATGACCATTAACAGCCAGCATCCTTGTTCTAGACTTGAGTAAAAACACGTTTTCCTTTCGCCTGTTGGCTTTGAGGCTGAAGTTAATATGTTTATTATGTTAGAAATTCATATATTCCTATTTTATTATTTTTCAAAAATCAATAAGAAGTGTTTGATTTTATCAAAGGTCACTTTAATGTCTATAGATGTAATATTTTTTCCTGAAATATAATAATATGATCAATTATATGAAAACATTTCTGAATTTTGAATAATTCTTATTTTCCTGAATAGCATCTAATGATGGCCTACTAATATTTTAATACGCTGCTAAAACTTGCTTACTGAAACTGAGTTTATGATTTTTGCATCACTTATTTTGTTAATTTTTTGTTATCTCTCTTCCCCCATTACAATAAAAAGTTCATAAGGACCGATTTTATCTCTTGTTTTCTGCTAAAATCCCAGTACCTAAAACTATGCCTGATACAGAGTAATTCCTGAAGAAATAAGCTGACATTTATTCATTCAATAAATTGAGATTTTTACTGTTTTGCCTCTTTTGTCGAATTTCAGTGTCGAGTTATATGCACTTCATACAAAGCTCAGAAACAATTTAAGTAGCATTGGAATTATCTTTGCTTTAAAGTTATAATTAGTTTAAATCAGCTGGAAGTTTACCATGGAATTCTAAATGGTTATGAAGCAGTTAGAAAGCTCTGTGTGGTTGAGTTAAGAGACATTTAATTCCATTTGACATTTAAAAACAAATTTCTGTCTTAACACAGGTTATTTGCTATTTCATATTTGAAGTTTTTATTCCTATGTAATATCAAAGTCTGTTTGTATATCAATCTATCTATCTATCTATCCATCATCTGTCTATTTATCTGCATAAACTACCTGGAAGTAATCCATACCTAATTTAGAAACGACAACAAAAAAATCACACTTATGTCTCACTAAACAATATAACATTTTGTTTTCCTTATTTTTGTAATCTGTGGGAATAGAATCACACTGTTTGTAGTCATCTATGATATTTTTGCTCAATAATCTTTTTTTCTAAGTTCACTCTTTTGTTGTGTCTTGTAATTCATTCATTTTCATTGTAGTACAATATTCCACACATTAGCTTCTTAGCAGTTTCTTGCTCGTATGAGCTGTACAGCTGTTAATATTTTTGCCTTTGTCTCCTGGTACTTAAGAATTTCTCTACAAGATATTTCTATAAATGGGACTGCGGGTTTGTATTATGCACCCATTCAAGTTTATAATATAACTTCCAATTGTTTGTCAAAATACTTGCATTAATTTACAATTTCACCAGCAGTGTGCCAAGGTTCAATTTAAGGAATATTCAGTCTGATATTTTACATTATCAGACATTAATATTTTGCCAATCTCATGGTGTAAAGTGATATGTAATTGTGGTCTTAATGTAGATTTCCCTGCTTACTAATGAAGTGGAGCATATTTCATGTGCTTTTTCTGGCTGTGCATGTTTATTGCCCATTTGTCTTTCTTTTCCCGTGCAATTTTAGTTAACTACTAATTTGATTTCTTTAATGGTTATAGTGTTTTTCAGGCTTCCATGTGTCAGTTTTAGTAATTTACAATATCTAGAATTTCCTCTGAGTTTTACACACACTGGCATATGGTAATTCATAAATTAGTTTTCTTTTTTTCTTGTTCCAGTTTGCTGGATCTCTACTTACGGTTTCCTTTATATTTCTAATACTGCTTACTCGTGCCTGATGTTTTTATTGAATCTCACCAAATGATTATTTAATTATTTAATCTTTATTTTCCTTTTACCAGAAGATTTGATTTGCTTCTGTTGGGTTTCACATGCTAATATCAACCAGTGGCAACTTTGTCCCTCTTGAGGGTCCACAGCTTAACTGAAGAATCTCGAGTTCAACTTCCTCCTTTGCCCAAAGTGACCAGATGCTCATAGCGGTGTTTGCATTCTGGAGGATCCTTCTTAGATGTTTGCTTATCTCTTCCTGTCCTTGTTTTTCTTCCTGGGTTCTTGTTGCAGTTATTGTTTCTGTTTCATTTGTTTACTTTTTTATTTTACTCTCAGAAATTTTGTTTGATTTCTCATGAGCCAAGGAGTACCTAGCATGAACTAGGTATATTTTAGTGGGAGAGTTTTTCAGAGAATCCAGCCTAACATATTGTTAGACATCAAAGTACCCATGCATTCATTTTTGAAAATTTATGAATACTTTTAAAAATCAGTGTTAATTTAACATAACAATAGATTGATTGTTTTAGCACTATCTTGCATCTCTCAACTTTATTAAATTTACTTTGAATTACAAAAGTAATACACCCTCTCTGTAATAAGGTTAGCTATCAAAATACAAGTTAACTTAAATTTGGCTATAGGCACCTAAAGGCAAGGCTGCTGCAAATTGGCCAGTGATGGTACCTTTTCTCCAGCTGTGGCCTGGATTCATCAGCAAAGGGGAAAACTACTCTTTTTTCACTTAGCCCCTCTCTCTCATTCTTTTTATTTTTCTTGTTTCAGAGTCACAATGTATATGTTAGTGGGGTAGCCTTCTTTTCTGAATGTGCAGAGCTTTTGATAGCACTGGACTGTGTTGTCTCAGAAAGGGAAAGATGCACAAGGTTTACAAAGTGGACTGGCTCAAATATGGAAATGCCTGGGGAATTTCTGAAGAATGACAGTAAACTAAGTGCAATTACATGGTGTAGATCCAGATTGGGCTGACATGACCACCATGATTCTGAACACTGCATTCTAGCACTGAGGCCACAAGAACCCAAGTGGAGGTCCCTACGACCAAGCTAGGGAGAAAGGATTTGGAGATACTGACCCCTGATCCCTAAATAATGTATTATCGCAGGGCAAACAATAGTCCTTCATTTTCCTGGACAATGGAAGCCCAGGTATGGGAGAATGCCCTAAAAAGTGTCTTGTTTTAGACTTCTTTTCATCCTTGGGTAGTGGGGACACCTTGAAAATTTAATTTTATTATTTTTTAATTTCAAAAATGTGGCACTATTGTGCCATGACAATCATGGAATAACCACTGCCAATAATACTCAGATTGTTTCATTCATTCATTCCTAAATTCATTCAATTTTTCCTTCAGCTATTTATTGTTAGCCTACTAAGTAATGGGTGTATAATAATGGAAAGACAGTCACTGTTCTTACAAAGCTTACAGTTGAATATGGATGTCAGACTTTAAAATATCCCAGAAATGCATATGTAATTATAAATTATTATACCCTCCAGAATGAGAAGAGTACGTGATCAATCAAACTCATTATCAACTTTATCCAGGGTTTCTCTACTCAGAATATCACTTCTAAACCAGTTCTTAAAGATATTTAAAAAAGCAACCCTTTGATGATGGTGGAGCAGAATTTGCCGATTCTGATATAAAATAGTGCCCCCATTAGTCATCATTTGCCTTGCTTATTTATTTATTTAATTTATTTTGCACCTGTAACTATCTGTGTGCTTGGTTTAAATACATTTACCCCTTTGTTTATTGTCTTCATAATGAGGATGTCACCTTCATGAGTACAGGGACTTGGCTTTCTTCACTGTATTTGTAGTGCCTAGGAAAGTTCCCAGTGCATAGTGTGTGCTCAGCAACTGCTGACTGAATAACGATTGTAGAAAAATGAGTCAGGCCTGCTTAGGATATCAGTGTCTGAGCTGTCATACTAAATGATATGAAAATCTTGAACAAATACAACATTTATTTCTACAAAGGCTAGATGTTATGACCTGTGAGACATATAACATTTGACTTCTCAATTCCTGCTTCTCAAATCCAGAGACACTTATTTTCTTTCTCTTCCCCCAGTCAGAATGTCCTGGCACGAAGACCCTCTCTAACACCTCAGACGTGGAGCTCCTTGTGTCAACAGCCTCCTTCCGTCCTCCCTAAATCGAAAGCATTTACTCATCCCTCCTTTCCTTTTAGATATAAACAATGCAAATACTACTGCTATAGAAGTGCAGTGTAGCTTTGCTATAATATCAACGTTCTTATAAAGGCACAGGAGAAGCACACAGGTTCACATGGTGAAAACGCCTCTGCCCTTATTCTTTAAGAAACCATTTTCCCCTCTTTCCAAACCTTGTGCTTAGAAGGAAATCCGTTATTTATTGCATTCCCGCAGCTTCAGTTATTTGCTTTCTCATGTGCTATTCAATGTTTTTGCCGAAATGCAGGCATTTCTCCACGTCTCGCTCTCATCCCCCACCTACCAAAAAAAACCCACCTGATGCAATTACCTGCTACCCAAGTCTTCTTTGTGACTAAGCTACTACAAAGGGTGATTTCTCCTTTTCATGGTGGATACCACCTAAAAGAAATCCCCCCACTGCTTATACCCAAACCACAATTATTTGTGTTACAACCCTCAGTTGCTCAATATCACCTGAGCAGCAAGAATTAAAGGTGTCTGTGGCCAGCCCCATGGCTGAGTGGTTAAGTTCACGCGCTCCTCTTCAGTGGCTCAGGGTTTCCTCAGTTCGGATCCTGGGTGCAGATCTAATAGCACTCAGCAAGCCATACTGACGTGGCGTCCCACGTAGCAGAGCTAGAAGGACATACAGCTAGAATGTACAACTATGTACTGGGGCCATTTGGGAGAAGGAGAAGAAAAAAAAAGATTGACAACAAATGTTAGCTCAGGTGCCAATCTTCACCAAAAAAAAAAGAAAGAATTGAAGGTGTCTGTTTTCTTTGTTGCTGAGATTTTGCTGTTTAACTCTTTCACTCCTTTTAGGCAGATATCATTATTGTACACCATCATACACATATAGACACAGCACATATTTGCAGAATGAAGGTCAAATGAGAGAACTTTCCTTTGATTCTGAATCCCTTTAATGCCATTGTTTTCTTTTTTGTTTTTAATTCTCTCCCTTAATTTTTCCAGTAGGTGTAGCCATCCATTTTCACCCAACTTCTTACCCCTACCTCAGCAAACATTGAGTGAACATGGATTAAGTTGTACACACTGACAGGTCTGGATAGAGTGAAGTATACCTTACTTTCCTTCTTAATCTAACTATTACGCTTTTCCTCAAACCAAACTAGGATGTTAGCCAAAAGTTTTCAGAGAAAACCAAAAACAAATACAGCCCAGCAATGTATTGGCGTTGAACTACATTCCAACAGACGTTTACAACATGGAGTTATAAATGATAACAGCGTTTATAGAAAAAGCAGAGAAGGGTACCTATACCATATTTCAGGACTCAGCTGTTTTCCTTTCTGAGTTCTTTCAGACTTTTAAAGTGGTAAATTTCTTTTATAGAACAAATAGACTCTGGGAATTTTAACAATGTTTCTGGTTGCAGAATAGACCTTGGGTCATAAGTCCAGAGGGTTTGCGTTTCAGTTATGTCGGAGGCTGGGCAAAATACAGAAATCCACAGTCGGCTACCATGCCTCTTGACCCTAGTAAGAGTTATGTCCCCTAATCTCTGAGAACTCCACACTGTCCGCTGATCTCCAGAGGATAGTACCAGAGATACCTAAAATAAATCCATTCAAAGGTATGGTTGTTATAAATAATTCCTTTTCCTTCCCTTGCCTTTACACGTAGCCACTCTACATTATTCAGGTGTTGAATATATTTGCTGTGAATTACTCAGTCTTCCACTGCCTCATCGTCCTCTTGATGGCTGACTTTTGCCCTTCTCGAGTCATTAGAAATTTCACTGAGGTGGACAAAGAGAGGAAATCAAGATTAAAGACATGAGTAAACCATGTCCCTTAGTAGTACATCTGTCAGAAAAAGTGCTAATATTTTGGACAACAATGTCACAAATTTCCACTATCTGTAATGGATAAAACAATATGGTGAAGCTAATAAAATGAACAATAGTGTTTAAGTTTTTCATTCAACAAGTATTTATTACGTGTTATGTGTCAAGTACTAAAATAGATGCTCTGAATACAGTGTTTACTACTAAAGTAACAGTGATGATAATAATAATAATAAATAGTAACCTACCCTTCAGAATCTTACATTCTAGTTGGGGAACATAAGTGTAAATGTAAACAATTAATAAATTTTAGATCATTATAAGTGCTAATGTGGGATAGAGAATGATATGATTAGGGACTTTCTTAAATACTGGGATAAATGTAATGTTCTACACTAAGGTGCAAATACTCAATTGAACAATTAAAGAATGCATATGACTCAACTCAGCCCCCAGGTCATATAAAAACATCAAACATAGAGTCACCATATAACCTAGAAATTCTATTCCTAGATTTACACTCAAAATAACTAAAACTGTTTATTCATGCAAAAATGTGTACACAAGTGTTTTTAACACCAACATTGATAGCCAAAAAATAAGACAAATTTTCATCAAATGATAGATAGATAACTGATCACCATAATATGGTATACCCACATGATAGAATATTATTCAGCCACGAAAAAGGAATGCGCTACTGATACATGCGCCAGCATGGATGAATGCTGAAAACATTGTGCTAAGTGAAAAAAAGGCAGACACAAAATTTCACATATTGTATGATTCTGCTTATTTGGAATGTCCAGAATAGGTAAATCCATAGAAATAGAAATTAGATTCCAGGTTGCCAAAGGCCAGGAAGAGGGGGAATGGAAAATGATTGCAAATTAGTACGGTCTTTTTTTGTGGTGACAAAAACATTCTGAAATTACCCCGTGGTGATTCTTCCACATTCTTGTAGATACTAAAACCCACTGAGCTGTACACTTTAAAAGAGTACATTTTATGATACATGAGCTATATCTCAATAAACGAGAACTTGACGACTTATGTGTCTGCTTGCTAAAAGACAGTCCTTTCAAAACCAAACTCTGATTATGTCACTCACCAGTTTGAAATAACAGCTCCTCTGGACCTGCAGGATAAAGTTCAAACACATGGGGTAAACATCAATGTTCTTCATTATCTGACATTTGCCTAAGTCTCCAGCCTCATCTCCAGCCATTTCTGTCCACCACTTTCTAGAGTCATAAAAAACACCTGCCTTTGCTTTTTCACACTATGAGCTCTTCTGCACTTTATGCCTCTTCCACCTGTGCTCTTGGAATAGTTTATCCTCCTCCTTCTTCACCTAGTTAACTGCATTTGTCCTCCAAAATAGACTGCGAATATTGTCAAAGTGACCTCCTTTCACAGCCCAATTTAGGAAGGCTATAGTCTCATGAGTCCTTTGCGTATCATAGACCTTTTACAAATTGTGTGACAAGTTTCTCCTCCTTTAAGCGGTATGCTTTGTCAGATCAGGGGGCATTCATGCTTTCTTCTATGTATCTTCAGCACCTGTGAAAGCGAGTGAGTATTTATTAAAATTGTTGCAACTTGAATATGAATAATATGTTGTTTTCAAGCCAAACAAGTTAAGTCATAAATGAAGAGAGTTTAGAAAGCAAAAACAGAATGTGGTCTGAACCTTAGTAAAAGCCTAGATTTGTACCAAGGAGGGGGAAATTTGGGACATCAGCGTAAGAAAATAAATTTTGTCAGAAAGAAAGAGAGCTCCCTAGATTATTACATGTGAATCCATCGGATGAGGGGTGTCCATAAAAATGTATTTCCCATACCCAACCATTAATGAAAGTAAGGTAATATGTTATCATACTTATTCTTGGTCAACGAGTGCGAACAACAACTTTCCTGGACAAACCAAGTTGACGTGACCATATCAAGCATCATCCTATCATTCTATTATTGCTGGGTGTTAGAGCGGTTTCCAGATTTTTGCTATTATAAATGATTTTTCCAAAAATATCTCACGACTCACTTTCTCATTTCATTAAATCTTTACTCGAGCATCATCTTTTTGGGAAAGACTCCCCTAGTATCTAAAATAACTCCTTCCATAAGGCTGTCTGTTTGCACTGTCAGACTCCCCACCTAGAATACAAGGTCGACAAAAGAATGAGTGTTGTCTCCAAATCTTAAAATTGTGTCCAGCTTATAGTAGTTGCTCAATAAATATTTGTTGAGTGAATTATTAGGTAATGCTGTGATAAGCATTCTTAAGTATAAATATTGTCTTTATCTTTTTTCAAGGATTAATTAATTAATAGAAATCAGGTTAAAAAATTAAAATATATCATTTTCAAGACTCATTTCACATTGTCTTTTTTGACAAAAATTGTACCAATTTTCCAGTGATGAAATTTAATATTCATTTCACCACATCCTAACTGGTATCTAGCATATTAAATAAGATGACATTTCTACATAGTGGTGAATTTGTTAGGGATAAATAACAAGAAAACCAATAAAAATGCCCTTTCTGGAACACCGAGGTCACACTACATTGATCACAAACAAAACATTTTAATGCTTTTCAATTTTGAGACTAATTTCACATACATTAACCTTTGAAATCTATATATGCATATGAAAGAACCAGTTCAGACGTTTACATCATTTTAGAGATAAGTGGAAATGACTTTCCACAATGACAGTTGACAGGTCAAGGAAAGGTTATAATGAAATTTATCAAGTAGAAATAAAAAGAATTAAGTTGGTTTATTTGGGAGAATTGTATTGATCGGCCAGAACATGGGGACACAGAAAGAATAAGGTTTATAATGGGTAAGAGTGAGATAAACCAAAAGTATTGTGGAAAATATCAGTAGAATTAAGTAACTTTATCAAAGCTGCATGCACCATCCTCAGTTTCCCCAGCAATAGGACTCTCATCTGTCTGTATGTGCATTATTATTTTTTAATTATGTGAAAATGGAGCAAATAGTAACTAAATGATAGAGCCCTGTGGAAAAGGTGGAGAAAAGGGTTGGGGTTGTGTGAAACAAAGTAAAAGTTCATGAAGGAGAATAATTTGAGTTGTGCATATACAAAAGTTGTCTTGAGCTTGTATGTGTGAGAGAGCATATGTCAAAGTATGTCATGACATTTCAACTGGATGGAAGAGCTCACAGGATACAGACTATACTCTGTTCTCCTTTCTTATTCAAAGTTCTACCCTCACCTCCAGCACAGTCTCACCAGTGTAGAATGCAAATGGCTCTCATGAGCTTTCTCAGCCCTATTCAGGGACTGAAGCCAGGAAAGCACATCTGGCAAGACCTAAGGAGACCCATTCCTATTAGTCAATAGTCTAAGAAGACCGTGAAGATGTTCATGCCTGTGCCAGTGAAAAAGGCATGCAGAAGATTGTAGGCACCAAATGCCCACTGAGCTGCCACCTTTCTATCAGCCCCATCACAGGGGTCAGTCACTGTGACCCACCCCTTCCCTGTCCCTGCTTTCTACTTCCCATGATGGCTTCCACCAATGCTGGAGTTTGCTTTGCCAACTCCTTCCACCATACTTGCTCTTCCTGGCTACAGAGCTAGTGTCTACTACAAATTTTGTCATTCAATTCACTAAACAAACTTCCATCATTGATGGCTTACCTGCCGCTGTTTAGAAGTCCCAATTTGGAAACATGTAGCTAGGGATGCTCAGATCATAGCAGTGAAGATACATTGTAGTAATAGTAAATAGCACAATGAATTAATTTAGTAGACACATTTAGCTAATTTGCTCGTGTGTCTGCGATGTACTGTGTGTCTGTGTGTGTGTGCATACGTGCTTTTTCTGTGGTCAATTTTGGAACATAAAGTTTTCTCTCTCAAACTGAAGTCACTTCCCTCATTAACCCAGCAAGCAAAAACAAACAGAAAAACCTCTTACATTTAGTTCTCTCTTAATTGTAAAATAAAACTAGAACTTTGTAGCTCAGTATTAATTATCCTCCATGAGCTAGCTCTCCTCTGCCCTTCCAGCCTTCCAGGCTTATCTAATACTATAAATACCTGCCCTCTTTGCTCCTCCTTTTTTTTTTTTGGTGGTGGTGGGGGTGGGTCAGGTGTTCCAACTGCCTTCTCTACTCCAGGTACCTTAAATGTAATAACATGAATTTTTCCACCATCAAGTCTTAACTCATATTGGTCTCCCAACCTTTCTGCTCCTCACAATATACGTATTCAGCAAAGCTCTTCTCGACAGTCTCTTCTGTGGTCCCTTTCCAATTTTCTAATTTTCCAAAATTTCCAATTTTCCGACTCACACGTACCTATGCTTTTAACACTGCCCTGCCAAACCTCGTATTAGAACTTACTTCACTAATCTTCGAGCATGTTTGCGTTCGTGCTTCCCCAGTAGACTGAAAGTTCTGTGAAGTGAGAGCTAGTGCCTCATTCACCCCAGGTGTTCTGCACATAGCTCTCAAAAATACCATTGCTCTTGGAGTTAAGCAAGCAGAATATGAAGTTCATTTTATAATAAAGAAGAAGACTAATGTTTGCCACGTAAAAATATATGTCAGTCATTTTAGAATATATTATTTATCTCCCAGCAGGAGTTTCTATTTCTCATACATATTTGGGAAATTGGAAATACAAATGATTCTTTTGGCATTTAAGTTGATTTGTGTTAGCAGTTAATCCTTTTTCCTCAATTCCATCCTTTATTGTTTCATCATTAACATTTTCCTTACTAGGCTGTGCTTCAGAGAAAGCAGTATGATCTCACACCATTGTGAGAAAGGTCCCTAAATGTCACTCATCACTGTGGTGTGTGGGCTTTCTGGGGCTTTTCGGCAGACAGCACTTTATGATGCATCCATTACTTTGCTACCAGCGGCTCACCTGCCACAAACTGTCTTACCTCCTGCAAGGGAGTGAAGGGTAAAGTCCTCGAGATGTGACAGTGCTTTAAGTGCTGGCTCAAGTCCACCAGGATCAACTAAGCTGAAATTTGAAGCACGAAGCAGATACACGCCAGGCAGAGGATTGATAGGTACAACAAATTGTTTTCTCATTATTATCAGGACTGCCTTTGTGAAATAAAAATGAATACATAATCTTAATGGTAGAAAGTCTGCACGTACCCCAAAAAGCAGAACTGCAGGATGGCTGCCTTTTCCTGGAGGCAGCAACAACTTGGAATTTTGTGGCATCTCCCAGGGTCCTGGCTCCTCCCGGCAAGAATATCCACCAGGGTTTCGAATCACAGTCATTATTTTTAGTAATATCGGAACATATTTTACCTAAAATAATTGTTGATCTAGTACACACTGATGTTTTCCACAGAAACAGGACAGAGCAAAAGACACACACAGCCTCATGAAGACATGCGAGATTTTGTATCCCTTTATATGACATGGAATGTCAGGTGTAGGTTAATGGATGACTCCATGAAAAAACAGGAAAATGGAAAGCCAACAATTTCATTGCCTGATGGTGCAAAATCATAACACATTTTCTGTTTTATGATGGAGGGGTCATGTGGCATTAGTACTCAGTGTTCCTGCCAAAAGCATTAATCCAGATGGGAACATTAATTTGTTTGACCAGATGTGTGACAATGTCACTCTGAAAGGTGGTTCCAGTATGCTGAACTAACATATATCATCACAGAAATTGCACTGCTAATAGAATATATTGAATTGGTGGCTCTCTAGTGTGACTTTAATCATTTTGAATCATAAAGAAAGGATTTCAGAATTTAAAAAGACTTTAGATGCCATGTAGCCTGAAGTCTCATTTTACGCAAGTGGAAGCTAAGGCTCAGGGAGGTAAAGTATGTCACATGAGCTTCTTAACCTATGTGTGGTAAAACTGAGAATTGATTCTGGACCTCAGGACCACCTAACCAGACTTCTATGCTCTATGACCTTTAATCTCATTTTCATACATTCCTCCATTTCTCACTCAACAATTAAGTATTGAGCACTCACTAAATGATAGGTACTATACTAGGCATTGGGTGAACAGTGGTGAAAAGACAAGCAAGATATCTGCTTTTGATCCCTGTTTTTGAGAGAGCTTACCTTCTAGAGGCCAGCATCAGAGGTAAATGAAATATATCTGACCAAAGACAAGAACAGTAAAGAATATGCAACAGGATAGTGTTGGAGACAGTCATTGGAGTGAGGCAGTAGTTTTTGGTAAGGTAGAGAAACGACGTGTCATTCCTATTTGTATGTATAACAACTATGAAAAGGAGTCAGTGGAGTGATGAAATACGTTGCCAAGAAGCAGAAATAGCAAGTGTGAGGCTCACATGAGCTTAGAGAGGAAGAGGAACAGACAGATGCTGATGTAGCTGCCATACATTGAGCAATGGAGAATAGAAGGCAGCCAGCTCATGTAAGATCTGGTGAATTGAATTGTATTCTAAGTGCAATGGGAAACCATTCGAGGAATTTACACAAGGGAGCAATAGATTCCGACTATTAAGCACTTAATAGCACATGGTCTATCGCAGGACATGTAAATTTTCAGGCTGCAAAGCCCTCT